TTACATTGTGTATATCATATCAAAACTCTCAGATCTCTTACAAGATTGACTACAGTATGCACCATAGGAGATTAGGACAGAATGCTCAGGAAGCTTGAAAAAGGGAGAAGTTTCAGCTGCTGAGTCAGAGGACAAGGTGGGAAAGGAGGAGCCAGTTGAGCTTGACTTTGAAGAGTGGGTAGGACGARGAACCCTGGAACTGAGAAACCAGGTAGTTGAAGCAAAGACAGCAGTGATGGTGGCGGGCAGCTGGGATGCATGGAAGGAGAGTGGGGTGGCCAAGTGTGGCCGGGACAAGGTAYATCTTGAGGGAAAGGGAAGATAGAACTGATCATTTGGGCTGGTGTTTTAACCCCAGGGTTTAGGCTCCTAGTCCAGTGTGGCTCAAAATGGTGGAAAGGAATAATTCAGACAGCTGGAGGAGTCAAGATAGTGTTTTKGGTTTGTTTTGTTTTGCTTTTGGTGGTGCTGGGGATCGAACCCAGGGCCTTGTGCATGTTAGGCCAGCACTCAACCAACTGAGCTATACCTCCAGTCCCCCAAAGTAGTGTTTTTATGCAGAGTGGGATGGAGCACTCTGCCTGTGGTTCTGGGCAAACACTGGTGCCAGGGGGATCTAGTGGAAAAGCCCTGGAACCCCTGCTGTCTAACCCCGACCCTGCCACCACTTACCCTGACCTGCCTGACAGTCATCTGGAGGCAGGGGTCACATCTAGAGTGTGCTGCCCCACTCCCTGTGACTCCCATCAGGCCCCGCCCTGCACTTGGGACAGTACAGGCTCTGCCTCCAGCTCACGGTGTGACATTGGGCAGGTCACTTTCTCTTCCTGGACTTGGGTCTCCAGGTCTCCACAGTGAAGGGGTCGAGATAGATGGTCTCTGAGGTCCTRTGTGCACATTCTCAGCTTCTGTGAAAATAAGAGGGAGGTAAACACTGTACAAATGGAAGTTCTTGTCATCCTTGTCCTCAGAGTACCAAAGGGACCCCGCTGCTTATGCTTCTCAAGGACCCTTATATCCTGGTGGCTGCAGGTAAGGCGGCAACGGCTTGCCTCCTAGCCGGGAGGGTTTGGGCTTCGGGCACAGTGGCCCACAGAACCGCCTGCCTTGCCAGGTTCCATCTGCTTTGCCAACATGGGGGTGGCCATGCTGGAGCCCACCCTGCCCATCTGGATGATGCAGACCATGTGCTCCCCCGAGTGGCAGTTAGGTAAGAGACCTGGTCCCTGCCTTGGGCTTGGGCAGAAGGTGAGTGCTGTGGGCCCTTCCACAGGAAACCAAAAGGCATCATCAAGTCCAGGTYATTAACATCTCAGGGGGACAATGAGCTTCCTTCGCAGAATTACCTTCCATGTCCACATCCACGAATCGGCCTCAGTGGGTGGAAAATTCTTCAGAAAAGTAGCCTAAGAAAGGACATGGGGGAAGGGAYCAAGGAGACTCTTGAGAGACCACATACCTAGCTCTGGGCTGGAATGAATGAATATTAGTGAAGTCCAAAGACTTAGGTTTTTGTTTCASCTCCATTGATTAGCTGTATAAACTGTGCAAACCACCTTTTTCACCTCTGAAGTGTCAAATAACTCTCTAGTTGAAAGKGAAAGTAACTATCTAGTTTAGAGGGAATTGGAGGAATAAGTGATTCAGGTGTAGAAATGCTTTGTCCCATGTGCAATTTTAATATGCACCACCACTGCCATCCACACCGACTGTAGGAATAAATGACAGGTGTGGGGCTGTCTTATCCTGTAAATAACACATGATACCACGTCCACCCACACTTCCTCTCTTCCACTCCCCATCTCTCTTTGCTGATTTTTTTTTCCATCTCTAAAATGATGCTCAAGAAGGATGCCCTATRGCTGTCCCCTGGGGAAGGTACTCAGCTCTGGATCCCCGTGGAAAGCTCTGGGGCCAGACTCTGTGACTCAGCTCTAAGGCTCCAGCCCTTTCTGGAAAGCCTGAGGAAAGGGGATAGAGACTGCTACGTGCAGATGACTCAGTCACTGCAGGGAAGAGAGGCTTCTGGGGCCCGAGGGGAAGCTGATAAAAGCCTGATATAGCTCAACATGCAACAGAAAGCACTAAATCTAATTTTTAAGGGGACAGTTCTAAGCAGGGTTCCCAGCTGCACTCCTAGGCCAAATTGAATTTTTCTGGGCTGAAACTGCTTCTGACCATGACAATTAATTGAGTTAGTCAGTGTTCAGTGCAGATAATGCCCCCC